AAGCCGCGTGCCGAACGTTGCCAACCCCTGGGCTAAGACAAGCATGGACTGTTAGTTGAGTAGGGTTCCTAGGACATACTTGGGTGGTGGTGGTGGTGGGGAAATGCAAATGCCAACCTCCAGACCTGATGTTTTGAAGCTTCACCCTGGGAAGGGGACTTTGGTTTACAAATTACCTATTCCCAGGATCAAAATGCACAAATGGTATAAACGAGTAGCTCTCAGATTCATGAGTGTTCTTGTTCTGAGCAAAAGGAATTATGAACTTGTTAGTCATAGGAAAACCCCTGGATGAGGTTTGAAGGACTGTTCACTCACTCTTCTTGGAGTTGTGATGACTTCTGGTAAGCTTATTAGGATGAATATAGGTTCTTTTATTGTTTTTAATATGTTTTCTCCAATATGCTTGTACCTTAAGAATAAATGTGTTTGCTTAGAAAGAACTGTGTGGTAACGTAACTGTGGTAATTACGCTGTTCACGATCTGAGGAGAAAAGTAAAGCAGGCCTGCGTAGGCAGTCTGACTTTGCCAGGGAATTCACAGCGTATGCACAGAACTGTGCAGCCTGGAAATACACTGCTCAGGAGGGAGAGGCGCGCGGTTCTCCACCCAAGAGAGGGGAGTCAGAAGCTTAAGCATGGATGCCCTTGGTGAACCAGCGAGGGGGGAATATAGGTGCAGATGCCCTGAACCATGACAGGGTGGATTATACAAAGTCTTGTGTCAGTGTCATCACTAAAACTTTCTATAGGGAGCTCTTATTAATACAGGCAGAGTAACAGTCTTAAATGACATCTATACTGCGATTGTTGTTTGAGAAGACTACCACCCTCTAGCTAGTATAAGTCAAAGGAACCCACACCAGGCTCAGCAGGAACCTCATAACTACCGGCTTTCCAAGCACATGGTCTTGGATAGGAAACATAGTCCAGTGGATCGGACATAGGATTGGGAGTCAGGAGACCAAGGTTCTAATTTTGGCTCCACTACTGACTTGTGGTGTGATTTGGGGCAAGTCACGTTACCTCTCCTTGCCTCAGTTTCCCTTCCCGCTCTCAGTCTTGTCTATCTAGGCTGTAAGCACATCAGGACAGGGACGGTCTCTCACTAGGTGTTCGTACACCTAGGTGTGCCTAGCACAATAGGGCCCTGATCTTGACTGGGGGGCTCTGTGCACAACAGTAATACAAAGAATTGTCCAGGAAACACGCAACAAGGAATTTCATGCAACTCATGCCTAGGCCTGCTTCCTCTGCACTCACCTGTGCGGCTGCAGCCCCAGCACCACTGATTTCTCTAGCCTTGTCTCATTGGCTACTGTGAAGTGTGTGACTTTGTCCTGCTGTGCTCCCGGCACAGATTCCAGAGATAGTGCTGTGTGTTTGGAGGCGTCCATGCGCCTATCCCAGACATCACTGCGATCTGCAAAGGAGATTGAACTGTACTGCTCCTCCAGTTGGCGGGGCTCTTCGTAAATTAGCAGACTTCTTGACCGGACTGTGTACAAACAGGGGAGGCAGAAACTAAATGAGAAACATAGTGAGCCCAGATACAAGGGCACTGGACATTTGGGGAATTGAAAGTGGACAAAAATAAACACAGTAAATCCAGCTGCACAAGATTTTGCTACCCATGGAGATTAACTAGAAATTTTGGAGCTAGGGAAAGATGCTGCACTGACTGCCCGCCATGTACGCCCACAGAAAGTGCAATATGAGCACTGGCCATGCAAGGGTCCTTCCTGACTTGTCCAGCCACTGTGCCAGAACTGGAGGGATGACTTCTGGGGTAAACACTCAGATACCATGGTGACAGGCTCTATTTTAACGTAATAGTTATCGGAGACAGCTAGCATCTACTTCCATCCCGGTGCCCCGCTCCATCCTTGGCCTCTGACACTGCCAACAGAAAGGCAATGGATATCAGCTGTGTTGGAGGTTTTTTGGCAATGTGAATTTGGCCACTTGGCAGTGAACTGAGGCCAAGCTCACCTGGAATCTTTTGGGAGCTATGAGTCTGATGCCTGCAGCTGACACACAGAAGCCTGACTGGAACTACCAAGTAGGTTGGGGAGCAATGGACTCCTCCATCCCTTCATGATGCATTTCACCAACAGCATGGGTAACCCAGCCATTGAACTTTTTCAACTGACTCGATACACTTGCATTTCTATAATGCAAAAACACCAACACCTCAAAACCACTAGAGGTCAGACTTTATTATTGTTTTGGATGTGGCCCTCGAGTGAGACAAGAGGCTGGTGAGTAGGAACCTGCGGTTCTCATCCTCAAAGAGGCGGGGGAGAAAGGAACATTTCCTGAATGTCAGCAATGCCCTTTTCCAGGTTGTGCAAGAAGATATGTTGAGAGGCTCCAAAGGAGAATTCCCATCCTGCCCTCAGACAGAAAAATGACAACCACAATGTGGGGAACACAGCTACTGGGAAGGGAAGAATAGGCGGTGTGCACCGGACTCCCACAAAAATGCAAAGGGGATCTTGTGGGGGAGTGAGTCATCAAGCAAACGGCAGCACTGACTTAGCTTACCAATGGAGGCCGTGTACAACTCTGGTGTGGAATGCTGGCTGGGCAGCACCATCTTTGTGGCAGAAGGATAGGGCCCGTAACTCTGAGAGAAGCTGCCAAAAATGCCTGCGAAGCACAGCACCACCACCTGGACAAGGAAAAAAGCAAAAATAAAAGCAATCTCACTCTTTGAACACAAATACATGGGAATTAAGGTTAAAGCAATGGCAAGTCACACAACTGCTGTAATTTTTTTTTAAATATTGATTCCAGGCTACTTTTTGGTTAATATATATGATGCCCCTAATCAAAGGTGCATGGACAATAACAATTCAATATTTAAAAGGAAGATTTCAATGCAAGAGTCTATTTTAAAGACCTGCAGCCATTTTATTCTGCTGAACTTCTTTATTTGGAAGTTGGAAAGGGCAGTGCCGGGTTTACAATGGCTCCAGTGGCTCCATGGAGCTGGGCCCATGCTCAGAAGGGGCCCCGGCCTGTTCCGCTTGCACTGCACCCCGAGACCCCACTGGTTCCCCCCTGCCCACCACTTGCTTCTCTTGGCCTGCCCGCCAGCTGGCCAAGGGCTCCTCTCTGCCCCCTGGCCCCATCCCCTGCTCCTCTCAGCCCCCTAGCCGGAACCTGGGGCACCTCTGGCTCCCAGCAGTCTCTACTTCCCACCACCTGTGGGGCCCCACCTATCTCCCCAGAGCTGAGCCGCCT